AGATCTTCTAGAGTCTATACACCCAGCCCAGTCTGCATCTGAATATCCTTGGATTTGAAGTGCTGAATCTCTTGGAAAGAACAAGCCACGTCCAGGACAAGTTTTAATGTACTTCAGTATTCTGATTGCAGCATTATAGTGAGTTACAGTTGGTGCAGATAGAAATTGGCCTAACTGTTGTGTGCTAAAGGTGATGTCAGGTCTTGTAGCATTTAAGTATAGTTATCTACCAACCAATCTTCTATATGAGGGAATGTCATGATAGGGTAAACTAGAATCTTGGTGTAGTTTGCAAGAAGGATCAGATGGTGTAGAGACAGGTTTGGAATCCAGTAAGCCAGCATCTTCCAATAAATCAAGGAAGTATTTTCTTTGGCATAGGGTAATACCAAGCTTGGAATGAGTTACTTCAATGCCAAGAAAGTATTTGAGTTGACCCAAATCCTTGATTTTGAAAGTTGTATGTAATGCAGTCTTCATGGTTTGGATTTCAGCCATAGAATTACCAGATATGATCACATCATCAACATACACTAAGAGGAGTGTGAAAGAAGTAGGTGTACTCTTGATAAAAAGGGAATGATCAGAAGAGGCTTGTTTGTAATTGTGTTGAAGCAAGAATGAAGTAAGCCTCTCATACCATCTTCTGCTTGCCTGCTTGAGGCCATATAAAGATTTGATGAGCTTGCACACTTGATTGGGTTTTCTGGGAGTAACACCTGGTGGAACGATCATATATACATCCTCTTGTAGTTCACCATGAAGAAAAGCGTTGTTGACATCTAACTGATGGATAATCCAATTATTGAGTGAAGCTAAGGCTATAGCTGTCCTGACAGAAGTAAGTTTAGCAACAGGAGAGTATGTATCAAAGTAATCTAATCCCTCAATTTGGTTGCACCCCTTTGCAACTAAACGAGCTTTATATCGTTCTATAGATCCATCAACATGATATTTAAGTAATCNGCTTTATATCGTTCTATAGATCCATCAGCATGATATTTAAGTAATCTAACAGAATTGTTTTAGCTAATCTAACTAGTAAGAAATGTCTTGGTGTAATAGTATGGTTCTATGCGATAAGTTTTTATTGTGATACAATAATCATATAACTTATTTATGGATACAGTGTATCTTTGCTGTGTCTACTTACTTTAAATTGTAAAAATTTAGTGCTATTGAGCTTATTGAGTTGTTGTGACTTGTGATACAAGAAACATATAATCATACAATATTGAATAGGCACAGATCTTGCAAAACTTTAATGCTATTGAGCTAATTGACTTTGATAGTACTGCATTTCATATTTGATTAATTTCAATAGAGTACACTAAGTTTATGCAGTAACATCTTTTAACTATATTTAGCTGACAATTTGTAGCAGGGTGCAAAAGTCACAGGCGACCAAACTACCTCTTGCTCCGCCACATCTTTCGCTGTGATTTTGGAAGACTCCGGTAGAGGCTTCGCAAAATGTTAATAGGATTGAGAAGGTGATCATGAATCTCTATGCATTTTCTTTACCATGGACTATGCTTATACTGCCATGTATGTGTTTTATTATCATAAGCATTTTAAATAAGGACACTGTCATTTTTTATATGTATGCCTATTTATGTTACTGATACTGCCTTTTACTATTTTTTATTGTTTGTTTTAGTTATGTTTTCATTTATGGTTGATTTAACAAAATTATGCCTTTCAAGTTTTCCAATAATCCTAAAAGCTGTTGAAAATAAGAACAA